CCCAACATTGGGCAGCTCATAATTGCATGTAATCATAGCTCCAGGGGATACAAGGCTGTCTTTAGGCACCTGCACACATGTGATATAGAACGCACATAAAAAAAACAACAACTCTTTTTTTCTTTGAGACAGGGTTTCTCTGTATAACAGCTCTGGCTGTCCTGGAACTCACTCTGGAGACCAGGCTGACTTTGAACTCACAGAGACCTGCCTGCCTCTGCCTCCCAAGTGCTAGGATTAAAAGTGTGTGCCACCACTGTTCGGTGGTACAACACTCTTAAAGACTGGGTGATAGCTTTATTCAATTTAACAGATGGAATTAGGAAGTAGGGAGGTGACGTCCCTTGTCTGAGGTCACACAACTAGCAGGTTGTGGAACTTGGATCCCAACCTCTCTGCATTACCCAGATCCCACTGTTCCAAAAGGTCCTGTGTTTTTTTGTGAACACTTTGCCTATTTGCTGACTAATAGTATAATTTACCTAGTAGCTGGGATGTACCAGACACCACTAAAAACTTCCACACCATTTCCAACACTTTAATCACAGTACCCTCTCCATTTTACCAGTGAGGAGACTGAATTCCTGACACTGTGTCCTGAGTCAACCCTGTCACTAATAAGGACTAGTCAGAGATTCAGTCCTTGGTGTGGCAGACTCTATAGCCTGTGCTTTTCCTCTGTCCCCAGGCAGCCTTTGCCTTTATCCATATGCCTGGACTATTTCTTCCTGTTTTGTGTATCCAGTCGTGCCCTGATGTTTTGCTTCTTGCAAACGTGTGCAGGGACATATGAAAAGTGTTCTCGTAAACCCTGATGTCTTTTATGATGCCATCTGTATTACAGTCTTAGAGACCTATTCGTTTCACTGCCTGTGGAAGGTAGCTTTCAGGGTCTCTTTTAGCTGTTCTGGTGAAGAATAAACCAATGAATCAATTTCCTTGACAATATGAATCCTACTCTCTCTCATTCTAGATATTCAGGCCTGTACAGTAAAGCATTCCCATGAAGAACACAAGTAGAACCCAGGCTGGCTCAGGAAGGAGGGGCCTAGCCTTGAAAGGACGTTGTGAAGCCATCCATGTGGGAGAGAGAATTATGAAGTCTTAGATTTCCATGCCTTCTCCCCTCCACAGGATTTGTGTTTTCTTTAAAAATAAGACTCAGATACAGTGTTTACTTATTTTTCTGGCAATCTGTGTTGTCAGGACAACAGATCTGTTTGCCTAGAATAGGGTTTTCTGGTGTTCTTGGAGGGGGAGATGAAAACACAAAGCTAACTCTTGTTTTCGTATCTGCAGGAAGAGAATGGTTTCCTTGTGTGGGATGGCTCTCAGCACAAGAGGAGCTGAATGGCAGTGACAAGCAATTACAGTGCTCTGCACTCTGTTCTAATTTGCTTTAATAAGAAAGGCACATAAATTGATGGGATTTTTAGCACTGTGCTAAGCATATCGGTAGTTAGCATCGGTGAGCACTTACATGCTAGGTACTGAGCTAATGTCTTCACAGATGTTATTGTACTGAAACCCCAGGGCAAGTCTGTGAGCTCGGTGCTATTATTGTCCCTATCGGATAGCGGAGAAAACCAAATTGGGAGAGATCAAGCTTACAGTGCTGGTCATTAGTAGATGCATGCCTGAACTCCAGGAATTTACAGTTCATGGGTAAATCAAAGCCCACGAGTGAAGCCAGGGAATGGTGGCACATGTCTAATCCTAGTACTCAGGAGGCAGAGGCAGGTGGATCTATGTGAGTTCGAGGCCAACCTGGTCTACAAATTGAATTCCAGGATAGCCAGGGGCACATAGTGAGACCCTGTCTCAAAAACAAAACAAAACAAAACAAACAACAAAAACCATGAGTGGGGCTCAGAGCATATAGTTTAGTGGTAAAGGGTTTACCTGGCATGTGCAAGACCCTTGGTTTGGTTCCCCAGCACCACAAAACAAAGCCCTAAATGAAGAAAGAAAGAACAAAGACAAGAAAGTTAGCTGAGCATCAAATAATCTAACTTTCCATAGACGTTAGAAAAGGGAGTCAGATGCTGTATCCCATGGAACTGGATTTACAGTTAGGTGGTTTTGAACCATCATGTGGGTGCTGGGAATTGAACCTAAGTCTTCTGCAAGAGCAATGGATGCTCTTAACTGCTATGACATCTCTTCAGCCCCTGTATGGGCATTTTAACCTTTTTTCAGCATTTAATTTATACTGAATTTCTGCCTGTGCTATCTACAGTGTTATAATAAGACATAGGCAATTTAGTAAAACATGACATACTCATACAGAATTGTACATTTTAACAAATAACAGGACAGAACACCAGAGTCTATTTTGGTTACTCTAGGAAAGCAGGGTTTCCCACGTATTTTTTCTTTGCCCATAGGTCATCTATTTTTTAATAGACCAAACTAATGAGTTACTGGACTTATTTAGAAGAGCATGGGTGACCTCAAAACAGCCCCCTACTTATGGGTGATGACCTTATGGAAACTGCCTCCTGGAGCGCCCCCTAAATGGCAATACACAGGAAAATTATATGAAAATCATCTTTGATGCTTATAAATAAAGTTTTATTCGGAACACTGCCACATCCATTGATTTATTTTTGTCTGTGGAGGCTGATGGCAGAGTTGAGTCATCACTGTAGAGAGCAAAGGGTAGATCCTGAAATGTTGACCTTATGGACTTTTACAGAAAAAGTTTGCCAACTCCTGCCTTAGCATTGATGATCCCAAAGGCACCCCCCCCCCCATTGGCCCTGATAGCTATTTGAGGTGGTTGGATCAGCATTTTGCAGTTTACAGAGGAATTAAAACAATTATAACTTCCCTCTCTTCATCCTTCCCTTCTTCTCTCCCTTCCTTCCTTCCTTCCTTCCTTTATTTTTTATTTTTTGAGACAGGGTTTATTGTTATTGCCTTGGCTATCCTTGAACTGGATCTGTAGACCAGGCTGACTTCGAACTCAGAAGACAGAAGACTGCCTCTGTCTTCTGAGTGCTGGGATTAAAGGCGTGTGCTACCACGGCCCATCTTATTTATTTATCACTATATTGTCTTTTTTTTTTTTTTGAAACAGGGTGTATGTGGTCCCGGTTGCCCTGGGACTCCCTATGTAGACCAGGCTGACCTTGAACTCATGGAGATGCTCCTTCCTGTCCCTGCCTCCTAAGTGCTGGGTTTAAGGCCCATGAATGCGTGTCTGTGCACCACATGCTTGCACTGCCTGAGAAGGCCAGAAGAGGGCGTTAGATCCTCCTGGAACTGTGGAGTTCCAAAGGGTCATGACCTGTCATGTGAATGCTTGAAATTGAACCCAGGTCCTCTGCCGAGAGCTGCTGGTGCTCTTAACTACTGAGCCATCTCTCTAGCCCCCTCCCTTCATTTTTATACCATGCTAGTACCTCCCACATACTAGGCAAGTACTCTCCATCTGAGCTACACCTGTCTACTTCCTTCTTAGTGTCAAACTGTCATGAATCGAACATGAACCAATTCTCTTTGAATTTTATATCTTTTGCGAAAGCATGTGTTCATAAGCATACATCGTGTGGGCATCACAGAACATGCTGGATCCTCTTGAAATCAAATCGGTTGTGTTTGCCTCTGCAAGTGCCCCTCGTAGGGAGAAAGCCACTAGACCTTCCCCTGAGATTATAGTCACCCCCTCCTTCCACCTGGTGCCCACCCAAGCTGCACATGACCCAGGGAGACACTAGAGTATATAGGAGGGGGAGGCAAAAGAAGGAGAACTCCACCTGTGTCGCTTTTGGAAGGTCACCATCCATGCTGGAGATGAGTAAGCCCAATAAACTCATTGGTTCACCAAGCTGGGCTTGGACAGAATTGTGTCTTTGATCTGTTGTTGGCGCCCTATTTTGGGTGAATAGACATTTGTTCATGTCTCCCCAGGCAGTCACTCAAGAGTGGGGCTTAAAAATACACACTGTGCGTGATACTGTAGTCTGCGGCTCGCTCTTTTACGCTACATGTTTTTGTGCTCTTTTCATGTGGGAACAAGTAGACCAAACGCAGTCCTTTTAGCGTTTGTCTACTATTCCACGACGTCTCGCTCTATTTGCTACTACTAACAAATAAATGTGAGCGCGTTGAGCAATACCAGAGGTGGCCATCTCATTAGAACGCCCATCGAGTTGATTCGTCCGGTCCTCGGAATTGTTTGTGAATGCCCCTGCAGCCTAGAAACACTGGAATAATTGGCTAACTAACGAGGGCTGGAAATCGACCCAGTTGACAAAGACCTTTGGAGCCTCAGTGAGTTTGCCGTCTCAACTCCCATTCCCTTTTGGTTGCCGGCAGCGACTTGCGGACAGCCAATGGTCAACATCCAAGTCTGAGTTCGCAGCCACCGGGCCAGCGAGCCCTTGACATACTTTTTTCCTTTTCCGTTGTGGGAGACTAAAAGAGCTCAAGGCTCCTGCAAAGCAAAACTCCAAAAAGGGGAAGAGGGTTTGACCAGAACAGGATGTGTTTCATCACACGCATCTAAACAGCCTTGTGGGGAGACACAGAAATTCACTGGGCCGCACAAAGATGCATTTTAGAGCGAGCCTACAGCAGTGGTCAGGGGAGAGGCGGCTGCGGAAAGGGCTTCCCCTTAATGGGCGTTGCCCCGAAATCCAAGGAGGGAACCGTCTGACAGACTCCTGGGTTTCCCGCCGCCTTTGGGGAACTTCCCGACGCTCAAAAACAAAGCGGCGTGGAGGAGCTGGCAGGCGCCAAGACTCACTCGCAAACTTGCGGCCTGTGCGCCCCTGCGCGGACCCGGCCTGGCTTCCTGCCGCCGGCCGCCTCCTTCCCCCCCCCACTTCGCCTCCGCCCCGGTGCCACTTAAGTCTCCGCGGGACCCGGCGCGCGGCCGAGGCTGTGGCGGGCACGCGCGCTTCCACGCCGGGTCCCTGGCCAATCAGCGCAGAGCCCGAGGCGCTGCCGCTGCCGCCGCCGCCGCCGCCGCCGCCGCCGCCGCCGCGCGCGAGCCGAAGCTCGGGCGGCTCCTCCCGCGGAGAGCCGAACCGGACCGAGCCGAGCCGAGCCAAGCCGAGCCGGGGGCGCAGAGCGCGGGAGGCGGCGGCGGCGCGGAGCCCAGGTGAGCTGGCCGGAGGCGGGCCGGGCTGAGGGGGACACACGGCCGCCCTGTGGGTCTCCGGGTCCCGGGCGCGCGCCGTGCCGGCAGACAGCCCAGAGGCGGGCCCCGAGGGGACCCCACGTGCGCCGCCCCGCGCCCCGCCACGTGGAGGGCTGCGCCCCCTTCCCCCGAGCCTCCGGAGCGGGGCGGCGCTTGGGCCCGGGCGGTAGGGGCCGGCCTGGAGTTCCGCACCGAGGTCGGCCGGCTGGGGCGGTCCCGGGTCCCGGCGACGGGCCTAGGCCACCCCTGGGCGCTTGACAGGTGCGGAACCTGAGCGCGCGGGAGCGTCCCACCCCCGCAGCCTGCAGGGCACGGGACGACCTCGGCCCTAGCGGTTTGGACACAGGTGCCAGGACCCCGAGTCTGCCCTCTCACCACCCCGACCTCACAGGCCGGCTTGATCCTTTTGACCTAAATTTACCTCAGGGCTGCAGCGCACGGTGCATGAAGAGAGAGTGCATGATCAGGCCCCTCTGGCTCAACCCTGGTGCTGGTGCCCCGGTTTCACCCGGGTTTTGCCACGGTTCTCCCCACCCCCTGGCTGCCCAGTTTGGGGGACGGTATGTTTTCACAGCTCTGCCAGCCTCCTCCCGGGCTGCTCTCACTTGGAGATGAAGAGGTGGCACTTTGCTGGGGGTGGAGAACGTCTGAGGTGCCATGGGCAAAGAAGCAGCTGTCAGATCTGGGGGTGGGTCATGCCGCGCATTCATTACCCTAGATGCAACTTTTACCTTCTTCAGCCTACTCTTGGATTATCCCTAGTCCAGGAGTAGAAACTTCAGGTGCCCTGGGGCATTAACGATGTCGTTTACTCCTCCTCCCAACTCTGCCCCCACAGGGCTGAAGGGAGGATTGCTCTGTGTCCCCACAGCTCCTTTGTTCTTTGGAAGTGGCAGGGGCTGCCACTGTTCCCCAAACGCCCCACAGAAACCGTGCAGTTTCAGGATAGATTGTGTATTGGTGTACGAAAGCAGCGTCAATTTGCCATCTTCCTACTGCACATTCTGCTGCTCTTAAGCAGTTCACCAAAGCAATCATTTGATGAGCCCCCACCTTGGATAATCGTAGTGACTTTTTTCATCCATGCCGGGGCTAGAACCCAGTGCCAGGAGCAGGCTAAGAGCACCCTCTACCTCTGAACCACACTCTCACCCCCTAATTAACATTTATCGAGTTCTTGCTATGTGGCAGATTCTGTTTTGTTGCCTGCATTGTCTCATTTAATGCTTATCCCAAATCCTGTTTGTCTGGGAGTTTTGTCACTATGGTCGAGAATAGGAGATTGAGGCTCATAGAAGTTACTCAACTTCTTGGATCACACCTTGGTGGCGGAGCCCAGGCCTGTTTACTAAGCAGCATATGAGGACACAGAACAGTCCTGTCAAAATTCAGACTTGCCCTTCCCTCCAGTTGTTGGTGGGCTAATAACTCTGTGGTGGTTCTCAGGGGGGCAGTACCACCCTCTTGGCGGGCATTTGGAAATGCGTAGGAGTGACTTTTGGTTTGTCAAAATGAGACTAAACACTCTTGGTGCTTAGTGGGCAGGAGCTAGGGAATGCCAAATGTCCTGTAAGAATGTCGCTACCCTAAATGCCAGTAGGGAGACGCTGAGAAATGCCATAAACCTCAAGTGCTGGGGAGATGCAGAGATGGCCACAAGATGCGCTCTGAAGACATCTGTTCTGATGGGAGTGTCCCCCGGAGGCTTCCCGAGGGGGGTGCCTTTTGTACCAAGCCTTTGGAGATGGCCTGAAAAGTGGAGGGGGTGGGTAGAGGGAATAGGATGGGGCCCAGTTCAGCAGAGGGAGTTTGTGCATCCCATGCAGACAGTGGCTAGGGCTGTGGTCTGTTGTCTGCAGGCAGGCCACATTTCTGTTCTCGGTCTTTCTGCCTAGAGTCTAACACGGCCCCTCAGTCACCCTTGTGTTACCGTGAACCCATTCTATGGAAGGGCTCCAACTGGCGGTTTGTTCAGTCCCTTGAGACCTTTTCCTTGACATGCCTCCTGCTGGTGGCTCGAGGGCCTTGTGGATCTCATTTCTTCCCGCTGTTCTGGGGATTTGTGCACAAACTCTATCACATTTTTCCTTGGAGTCAGAGTCTTGGACGGGTAGGCAAGAGAGCCCCGGGGGCCTTCATGCAGGTGGCTCTTAGGCTGCCGTAGCCTCTGCGATCACACCCGTACTTCTTCCTCGCAAGTTGAGGGGTTTCTCTTTGGCAGTTGACTTCTCGGATGGGATGCGGCTCAGTTGGTAGAGTGCTCGCCCGGCCCACGTATGAGCTGGGTGTGGTGACACATGCCTGTAATCCCAGCACTTGTGAGGTTGCAAAGCTGGACCACAAGTTCAAGGTCGTGCTTATCTACACAGCAAGTTGGAGGTCAGCCTGGGCTATATGAGGCCCTGTATCAAATTAGGTAAATAAATGATAGAGTTCAGATTGTTTGTTGATAGAAATTTGTAAGGGTTTTGGTTTTTACCTTGGTAGCAAGCCCTCTAAGCTCCACCCCCAACCCTTAAAAATAACCAAGCAACGTTTAGGACACTTACAGAGCTGTGCATCTGTTCCCTCTGGCTAGTTTCAGAGCATTTGCAGTGCCCCCAAAGGAGATCTTGTACTAACAGACACTCCCTCCCGCCAGGCTCAGACACCCACATATCTGCTGTCTGTAGGGCTAGTGTGCTGTGGATGTGTCCCGAGAGTTACATCTTATGTAATAGGTGGTCTTTTGTGTGTGGCTTCACTCAATATCACGTCTTCTATGCTTCATTCCTTTTTATGGCTGAATAATATTCCATAGTCTGAATGAACTACATTTGGTTTATTCATCTAATGATGGACATTTGTGTTGTTTCTAGTATAAGGCTTCTCTTTCTTTCCCTTTTCTGGGAGACGGGGTCTCGTTCTGCAGTCAAGTCTAGCCTCCACCTTGGTCTTCCTGTCTCTGCCTCTTGGATGTGTACACCACCACTCCTAGCTGATTTTCTTTCTTCGATTACAGAACATTTTAAGCATAGAGAAAAGGCAAAGTTTTGTTTTGTTCGTTTGGACTGGCTTGTGTTTCAGAAGGCGGGAAGGGGGCCCTGGACGTGATGGGACTGGAGAGTGTGCTGCCCTTTCTTTTCTCAGCCTGGCTCCTTAGTCCCCTGTATGGCAGGCGGGCAGAGTCTGGAGACAGGCGGGAGCGGAGGGGCGCTGGGACTTGCTCCCTGTAAGAGTCTCTGTGCTGCTGGGGAACAGATGAACTGTGTTCTAGCATACATTTCCCTTTTGGAGAGAGAGAAAAAGGAAATTAGGAGATTCTGCCGTGCCCCCACACCCACCCCATCCTGAACGCTGCAGAGGGACTATTTTTGTGTTGCCTCTTTTTATCCTGGTGGCTGTAAATAGTTGAGAGATGGCAGTTACAGAGATAAAAATGCTAATTCCAACCTGGAAAGGAGAGATGGATGATCCCAAAGGAAGGGAGGCCAGGATCTTGCCCCTCTGCCCGGAGAGGTTGCACAGGAGGCAGGGCTGAGGGAAGGCCAAAGGTGTTGCCCAAGTGCCTCCGTTAGGGACACTTAAAGGGAAGGCCGGGTTAGCTGGGGTCAAGGCAGGGAGCATGTTCCTGTCCCTGTTTAAGTTTTTTTTGGGGGGGGTTGTTTTTTGAGACAGGGTTTCTCTGTGTAGCCCTAGCTATACTAGAACTGGCTCTGTAGACCAGGCTGGCCTCGGACTCAGAGATCCGCCTGCCTCTGCCTCTCTTGTGCTGGGATTTATCTGCCTCCATGCCTAGCTCTGTTGTGCTTTTAAATGTACACTGGGACCAGGTAGTGGTGGCACACTCCTTTAATTCCAGCACTCAGAAGGCAGAGGCAGGCAGATCTCTGAGTTTGATTTCAGGCTGGTCTACAAAGTGAGTTCTGGGACAGCTAGGCCTACACAGAAAAACTCTGTTTCTAGGGGGGAAAGTATATTGAGAATGTTTCTTTCAAAGCACCTGGCAAAGAGAGATTTAGGTTCATCTCAGACCTCGATACCCATTCTGGGTCCAGGTGTGGGGTATATGTGGCCTATACACCTAGTTTCCAGGCTTGTCCCTGCTTGGGTGGGGGGCATGTATTCTTGAGGCTGCAGGGGGAAGGAGGTGGATTAAACAGTCTCTGGACAGACAGGGATGAGGGAGGGAGAGAGGTTGGGTGGGCGAGACAGGGATGATGCCTGTGGTGCTAAGCTGCCGCCCCCCCCCCTGTCTCTGGTTGGATCTCTTTCTTCCCCTGACAGATTGAAATCCTGTTTGTTTCTCTGCTTCTTCCTTTGGGTCAGTGGAGGACTGGGAGGGGGTCAGTCGGAAGAGTTCAAGGAAGGAGTAAGCCTCCTGCTTCTCACCTCAAGTTCTGCCTCCCTCAAACACTCACCCTACCTACTCACTCACGTGGTGTCCTCTCTGTACCTTTGAGTCCTTCAGAGCTAGACTGCAGATAGAACTGTCCTGTTCTCTCAATGATATGTGACCCATCAGATCCCTAAAAGTGGCCGGCAGGGTCTCAGAAACCCTTTGGTCATTCAGGGTCTCTGCCTGCAATGGTCTGGACCTCTGGCTCTAGTCCCTGCCGAGCCACGAGCCTGCTGGCCTGCCTTGTCTCACCTACCCTGGCTTTTAGCATCTCCACCTGCAACCCCCTCCCCCACCACATTGATTGCTGAAGCAATGGGCAGTGAGTATGCTCTTACAACATGTCTGTTTGGATGTGAAATTGTATTCACCTTTTTTTTAAAATTTAGTAACAAATGATGCCTTGTACCACAGCTAGCAGGGAAGGTGGAAAGAGTTTAGTTACCATGGTGAGATTAGAAAGTCTCATTTGAAGCCTGAGTGGTGGCGGCGGCGCAGGCATGCCTTTGATCCCAGCTCTTAGGAGGCAGAGGCGGGTGGATCTCTGGGTTTCAGAAGAGCCAGTGCTACACAGAGAAACCCT